AGCAAAAATGCACTGAGGCTGCTTATCTGCACATCTTTCAAACAAAATTGCATTGAATTTATACAGAGGTCAGACTGGATATTTGCAGCTACTAAAATTTATTTACAGTGGACGTTACAGCTTGTAAGAACTGAATCTAAGTCCCCTTATTCCCTATTCCTTTTGGAGTGATCTGTTTGAATTATATCTTTTGAAAATACTACTGAAGGCCAAATTTTCCTACTTTCTAGCAGTTTCTGACTCCATTAGCTGTTGGAAGAAGGGTTAAAAATACACAGAATTGTAGATCTGTAGTAGAAATTAAAAATACATGTATTGCATGCTTTTATTGCCAATGATCTCTTGGGATAAGATCTTTCTATTCCAGTTTCCTGTTTAGTCAGTAGAAGAGTTCCAAATGTGTGCTTCCCTTGTGTCATGGGCACAATCCTGCAAAAGTGATGAGCATAATATTTAAGTAGCTGGAACTTAACACTTCTGATTCAGGAAAATGGGGGATGTGGTTGCGTATAAGGATGCCATTTTTAATTTCTGACTAGGAGTGCATGTAGGAGATTGTCTTTTCTGCCAGATTGGAAACAGTTTCCTAGGTTGGATAAAGTCATGCAGCTCTAAGAAGGAGGTAGACAGCAGTTGTCACATGCATGAGCTGCTGTATATATTCAAGGAAGTGGTTTAGACAAGTGGTCTCCTGCTCCTCCAGTAGAACAAAGCTGCCATTACATGAGCAGCACTAACCAGATTATATACTTAATGAAATATCAAGACATTTAATTCATAAGTAATTTCTTAAGGAAGCAAACCAGGGATACTGATTTTTAGAGGACATAGTTTATGCTATGGTAAGTCTGCATTTCACAAGTAGAAGTTAGCAGCAATAACAAGAAGCCATTAAACTTTATGAGAAACTTAGTGGAAGATTCTGCATCCCTTTGCTACTTCTTCTGCCTCTTCTATCAGCTCCATGTTGTGTGTGTTGCATGTGCAGAGGCAGGTGTGAGCAAAGTCGGGGCAGGATGGAGATAATAGCCTTTGCTAATCCCCCACTGGCATAATGTCCATTAGGAGTCAGTGATGTAAATTAGAGTCGAAACCCTGCTGTCTCTCTTCCTTCAAGGTCACAGAACCAGCTCCACATGGCTACCAGTCTATCCAAGCATAGGTTTTTCATCATGGAGAAGTGTAACTTAAATGTAAATCTGATCTTTTGTAGACTGGTGTGGTACATCAGTAAGGTCTCATTCCCCTACTCCCTTTTCAGATGCCTGGTGGAGTATTGGCAGACCTGAGATGCCCATAGCTGGGTATGGCTTCAAAGTGCTACTGTTTCCCAGCTTTATAGAAGAGTGATCTACATTCCCCTGTAATTCTCAAAATTAAGCTCAAACTAGGCCATACAAATACTTTACATCTGCTTTGCTTTCTGCTAATTTAATCATCAACCTTCATAAAGTTTAAGCTATTTGAGCTCAGTTAATTAAGTATTTTCTCTCTGATTTGGGCTTTCCTTTCTGGAGAGCCTCCAGAAAGTATAGCCTTAGGAAGGCACTTTAATCTAAGCTACTGTTCTCAGCCTCTGGCATGTTAGTTGCAGGAAGATGATGGCCACCTCTCTTGCAGCATCTTCCAACAGCCTTCTGCTGTCTTGAGTCTTGCAGCTGGTTGCCCTCCATGTGACTGTGGTGTCCCAAGTCCCTGAGCTGTACCAAACCATACTGGTGTGAGGGCTGCATAAAGACAGCAAGCTTGAAGTCTAGTCTAATGTGTGGTGCTACAGAGGGTTTCAGCAAGCAAGTGGTAAGGGATAGTGTTACAAGCAGCCACATCCAAAGGACTCTCTCCCTCATTGCATTCATAAATTGCACTCAGCCAGTTGCCAGATGATGCAAAACTGGGAAGAGTGGCTGGGACAGCAGATGGGTATTCTTCAGAGCAGCCTAGGTGGGCTGGAGAAATGGAATGAGAAGAATCTCTTGATGTTCATAAAAGGGAAATGCCAAATTCTGCACTGGGGGAGGAGTAATAGTCGCAGCAATACACAACAAAGCAGGAAAGTGCTTTGCATTGAAGTACTTGGCGGTTCCTGGTGAACAGCAAGTTGAACATGGGCCAGCAGTGTGTCTTTGTGGCAGGGAATGTCAATGGCATCCTGGTCTGCGTTAGGAGAATCGTCACCGGCAGGTTGAGGGATGTGATCCTTCCTTTCTGTTCAGTTCTAGTGAAACACATCTGCAGTGTTGGGTCCAGTTCTGGGCTCCCCAATACAAGAAAGACACAGACATATTGGAGCAAGTCCAGCAAAGGGCCAGAAAGATGATGAACTGGAGCATCTGTTCTGTGAGAAGAGACTGAGGGAGCCGGGACTGTTCAGCCTGGAGCAGAGAAGGATTGGGGTGGATATCGGTGTCTGTAAATACCTGATTCCCCATACAGTAGAAGACAGAGCCAGACTTTTCTCAGTGGTGCCCAGTGACAGGACAAGAGGCAATGAGCACAAAGAGAAATACAGGGAATTTCTTCTTAGCACAATAATATTTTCTTTTCACCATGAGGGTGACAGAGCATTTGCACAGATTGCCCAGAAAGGTTGTGGAGTCTCCATCCCTGGAGATATGCAAAAGTTGTCTGGACGTGGGCCCGGACAGCTGGCCCAAGGTGGCCCTGCTTGTGCAGGGGTGTTGGACCAGATGACCTCCAGAGATGCCTTCCAACCTCAACCATTCTGGGACTCTGAAATGTTTACTAAACTTCAATAAACTCCTGCAGTTACACAAGCAGCTGCACTTTCCTCTCTCCCCTCAAAGAGAATCTGAAATCTCTGTGTTGCATCTTCACAAGGAGATTTTTCAGAAGGAAAAGTTATGTACTGTAACTTCATTAGTTATGAGTCATGGGAGTACTGATTTTGAAAGGTTTGTATTTTACCCTGTTTAAAAGTTGTCTTTAGTTTAGAATTGCTTTTTGGTTTCCATCAGAGTTGTTTTGGTTTTTTACTCAGATTGAGAATATGTTTATGTTATCAAAATAAATGTCATAGTAGGAAAAGAATCAAGCATCGCCAGTGTTTTTCACAGCAGTAATATCTGATTTCAGTTGTTGGATCTGGTAAACTTCTAAAGAAGAGACAATTTCATTCTGACATCTGCATATACACACACACACACACACACACACACACACATATTTGAATGCCCACATATTCTGCCCTAAATTCAGGTTATATTAAATGTTCCTGTGGAACCTGTCCAGGTCAAGCATGATCAATACAGCCCGGGCTATCTGTTGCTAGTACTTCTCTAACCACATCTGTGGAGCTGTTTTGAAACAAACGATCTGTCAGTAAATATTTCTTACTACTGAGTCTCTGAGTCATGCTGACACCTGGGATCTCATCTGCAGTGTACAAGTACATAGGTCTTTTTCTGAAATATAGAAGACAAATATATTGTCTGTCTGGCTGCTATTTTATTATTTCACATCAAACCTTTTCAGGTAACACTAAATAGTTTTCTGAGGTAGTGTTTCACTCAGGAGAGAGCAACCATGTTCTAACTTTTCCCTCTTGACCAGCAGACACTGAAACAGTCTGAAGAGTAGAAGATACTATGGACTCTGTTTAATTAAGTCTGTAACGTAGTATGAGCTTTTATTCGGGAAGTTCAGTGAGTTCAGAAATATGGCACTGGTAGACAAGATCTGCACTGGATTGTAATATAATCTTTTTATATCAAATGTCTCATATTTTATATCAAGTTGACATGTCACATCCTCTTTTTCTTTACAGGGTATATACCCAGTTACTTAGACAAGGATGAGCTATGTGTAGTATGTGGGGACAAAGCCACCGGATATCATTACCGCTGCATCACTTGCGAAGGTTGCAAGGTAAATGGCACCTGGAATCAGAAATAGCTTTCCAGCTCCTCCATTATACAGACTTCCTGGACTGTGCTGTCAAACCAAACAAAGACAGATTAGAAGCGAGTAAGAACATCCAGTACTGATGATAAGCCGTATCTGGCTATGCTGCTGCTCTTCATATGCATAAGGAATAGAGTTGATTTTTGCCGTGTTTGCTTCTGAAAAGAAAACAAGAAATTCAGATTGTTGTTGTTGCTGTTTAATAGTTAGCTGAATTTCCATTTTTTAATGTTTCTTTAGCCGTGTTCTCAGTCAGAGTACATCAGCATGCTCCCAGCAACTCTGCTGAAGCTGTTTATGCAATAGCTGAGATTCTGCCTATGGCCACAAAGAGTCTGTAGCGATTAACAGCATTCCAGTGCCTCTCATCATCACTGTGAAGAAGCAAAAATCAAAATCCCTTCCACATGCTCATGCAACAGTAACATCCATCAATTTGGGAAGCATTGACACCCAATTAAAATACTTTGAAAAAGATCTTGACTTCTTTAACTTAAGCATATTGAAATGTGCTTTTAGCCCTAAATTGCATCTCCAAAACTACATGCAAAATTAAGCTAAAAAAGAGATTGCTTTGGGCAAGTAAATAAAAAAATTGAGTAACAGAATCAGGCACATCTTACATGATTTCACTGCCGTCCATTTGCCTGAATAGCTTGAGATCCTGTAAGAAAGCTGTTCTTTCCTGCAGAAAGTAAAAAAATGGTTTTTCTAAACAAATGGGACCACACGTCTTGGACTAGTGTCATGAGACTAAGCGAAAGAAATTGTTTTTCTAAACAAATGGGACCACACATGTCTTGGACTAGTGTCATGAGACTAAGCCACAAAAGTCTTATTTTGTTCATCCCCAAAGTCTGGAACATTTGGATCTGAGATTTTGGGTTTGGACTGCCTTTGGAGCCCCTCATCACAGTAACTCCTGTGTTGAAGTAGTTCCTTTGGTTGTACAGCATTGCCCTAAGTTATGTTTTTCTAAACAAATGGGACCACACATGTCTTGGACTAGTGTCATGAGACTAAGCCACAAAAGTCTTATTTTGTTCATCCCCAAAGTCTGGAACATTTGGATCTGAGATTTTGGGTTTGGACTGCCTTTGGAGCCCCTCATCACAGTAACTCCTGTGTTGAAGTAGTTCCTTTGGTTGTACAGCATTGCCCTAAGTTACATTTATGAAACGCACAGAGACCTTAATATCCTATGTATAACACATTTGTCATAATATTCATAATGGTTTTAGACGTACATACTGTGCATGAAAAAATATTTATATCTGGAAAAAACTGTGGGGCTGAGCAAGTGATTCTTACACATTTTGCATCCCATGTACCAGATGATAACAATACATAACATGTACAGATATGACTCAATTCAGATATAATGAGAATTAAGCAGCACTGTGGCATTGTGAGGTATCTTTTGCCCCCAGCTGAACAGCTATATCTCTCGCCAGCTT